GGGTGCAGGGTTTAGAGTGTAGGGTTTAGGGCTGTACAGAGTTTAGGCTTCCTTTCGCAAATCGAGGTGAAACGCATCTAAGCATGCAAGAGGAACACCAGTCTTTCTATGTCCAGGTTACCTTTGGGGACGGTGATATGCGCAAGCTGTAGTTTTCCGTACATGAGGCGATCCCAATATAGACCCCGACATTTTACACTCCTACTGTATGCCGCCCTAGAAAGGGGACCCCCCCACTTTTAGCAAACCTTGACCTTCACCAAGAACATGGCAACATAGAAAATGCCCATGTCGATTTTTAGAAGGTGACTCCCTATGGGAATTTCTTGCAGTCGCGGGTCCCGGATATAATCCCAACCCAACACTGGACACTAAGCACAAAGCCCGACCCCATAGAGATGCATGAGGACCTTAAAACAGCCATGTTACTGAGAGTAGACACTTGGTCGGGATGGCATTGTCCTGTTCATATAGGTGTGCTGGTACGGGCAAGATGTAGGGGGAAAGGATCCTTTGTATGGGCTTGCCCAGGAGTTCTCCCATCTACAGCTGCTGTGTTTCTTCGCGTGTTCTAGTCTTAACCTCACAGAAACACTTGCAAAACCATAAGATCGCTTTTCTTGCGGCAAGACTTACCCAGAGAGAGAGGCGCAAACCCCTAAGCGTTCATTAGCAGCAGCCTTAACTACCCATACGTTCGGGGGGAGCTAAGGAGCTAGGGATAGTCTATATCAATATAATAAGGGGAGCTAAAGAGCCCAGGAATCTCCAAAACCATGGGGGAGTTAACACGAGTTTTGAAAGACAGCAAGGTGGTTCCTGCAAAGCCGGCGACACCTTCTGCGAGGTGCCATGGATTGCAAGAGACCGCTACATGAGCTATTGTCTAAACTCCTTAAAGGGGGTTATATAGGGATTATATCAGGGGACTCTTATAGGGGTTATTTACGGGGATACTAGGAGTTTAGACTATGGCTTACGCGCAAAATTCCCGGGTTCCTTTTCAAATTTCTGGTTTTGACGTATGTTTCTGTCTTGAGGTTCATGCTGTTCAGCGCTTTCAAGCTACTGCCTCTTATTGTGTACACCGAAAGCCACAGCAGTAGCAAACCCTAAATCCTGAACCCTAAATCCTGAGCCCTAAACCTAAATCCTAAGCCTTAAAACCTAAATCCTAAAGCCTAAACCCTGGTAGCAAACTGCTGGCACGGCTGGGAGACCTCTTGTAGGATTCTCTCCTGAATTTGTGCCCGGCCTCTGTTCTGGGAGGTTTAAGATCACAAAGCCTCAGCTGCTGTTGTTTAGGGTTTAGGGTGTACGGTTTAGGGTTCAGGGTTCAGGGTTTAGGGTTTAGGGCTCAGGGAGCAGGGTTTCGGCATTAGGGTTTAGGGTTCAGGGTTTAGGGTGTAGGATTTAGGGCTTAGGGCATGACCTTAGGACAGTATTGCGGCATAATTCTCAAGGTTTAGGATACTCAAGGTCATGCAGGACTTCAAGTATCCGCAGTAACGTCTTTGGAATTCAGTTTTAACAGCTCAAGAGGAATTAGCGCTTCAGGTACATGCACTCTGCACTTTAGAGCCCAGATGGGAAGGATGCGGTTAAACTTCCCTCACCCTAAGCTCGAAACATAAGACCCCAAATGCTCAACCCTTAGCCCTCTGAGATCTTCAGCCAAGCGGTCTACCCTTACAGTCTTGGATTCCTTGTATGATATGGGATACCTCAAACAGACCTCAAATGATATAGGTATTTTTTCAGTATTTAGGTTTCTACATTCCTCCAATTGTCTCAGTTACCTAGGCAACCAAAACAAGACTTGACAGAACCCACTTCTTCGACATCCCTGAATATGATTTTCCACTGCTCAGGAACTCTCCTCCTTAAACTGGCTTGCTATTCAGGAACTTACATTCAGATACCGCAATATGGGTATATAGTAGATGATAGGATTTCCTTCCTATAGTAACTTGTTTTCAGTTCCTAAACAGCAGCCCAGTAGAGCATACCCATCCATCCTCGGTTTTGTAGAGCACCATGAACCTGAACTAGATAGGATTTGAAAAGGGTTTAGGGTTGTTCCCTTTGCTTTGTACACTGCAATGCCTTATCAACCCCTACTTTGAGCAGTGCAAGGGTCAGCTAGACTAATCTCTAGACCCCGAGCCCTAAATCGCAATGAACCCCCCTCCCCGAAATATTCCATATTCCTTCCTCAGTATACTATAAAAACATAGGAGTATTGAACCCTAAACCCTGAACCGCACAATACTAGGGGAGGGAATCACAGTCCTCAGGAGTCACCGCTGAGGATCACATGCGGCGCGAAGCTACCCGGCTTCACATTCATTCCTTCTGGGCTTAGGTTTTAGGTTTTAAGGGTTTTGGAGTAGGTGTAGGCATAAGCCGGACGTGTAGAAGCCTAACCAAAAGCAAAGTGTTGTACCTGAAGCGTTTGGAGATATTCCCTCCTTCAGTATTGTATACATCTGCTGTAGAAGGTTTAGAGCAGGGTAGGTGTTCAGGTTCTGCCGCTTGAATAAGCCCTGCGGCTTGGGCCTCAGCTACCTAAGCCCCAAACCCCAGACCTGGAAGTGGTTGATTCCAGGACATTCGGTCAAGTCTTTGTTCGCGGTAACGTCTGGTTTGGGTTTAGATCCCAGGCGTTGGGTTCCTATTCCAATTTTAAGATAAAAAACATTGTGAATAAGTATGCCTACCCCTCCTCCAAACAGGAACTTTTTTTCAAGACAGGCAGGCCGCACCCATTTTGGGATCCCTCAGCTTTGTTCTGATAACTTACCTTTGGTTAGCTGGGAATGAAGGAATGGATCCTAATAGTAGTCCCTATATAGCCCGTGGTAGTAGTTTCCATTTTCTTTCGAATTCCTTCTAAACCCTCAACGTATATACACCATGATAGTAGTTTCCATTTTCTTTCCATTCCTTTAAGAAGGTTCGGGGTTCACTCCCAGCTAACCAACGGTAACCCTAAACCCTCAAACCCTACGCCCTTAGACCCCTAAACTCCTAAATCCCTAGATCCCTAAACCCCTAAACCCCTAAACCCCTAAACCCCTAAATCCCTAAACCCTGAGCCTGCAAGGATGGATGACAATGGCGCGGTTGGTCGGGCCGCGGGCTCTCAGGCGCTGCTATGATTTTTGCAGATCCTGTTTGCCTTGAAGGGGTTCTTGACATCATAGGTCCATTGAGAGGTTTCCTAAAATTAGTGGATTTATTGGGGGTTCCCTATAATAAGGATTATAGTATTTGGAGGTCTATATTGGGGTCCCCCTATTTTGGGAAACTACCATTTCTGAGTAGGGTTGGGGTTTTGGGTTTAGGGTTAACGGTATTATAGCCATACCTTGAGTTCAGGATTCAGGGTGGCCAGGTTTGTCCTTTCGCAGTGTGGACAGTGAAAGATGCGTACAAGCGTAAGTACGCTCCGAAGTTTCCTTCGTCTTATGCCATATCTGGGGTTCTCTGAAGCTAAGTAGGTTGGGGCAAGATCTGAGGGGTTTGGAATTTGGTGCAGCTTTAGGGATAAGAGGAGCCTGTAGGCTGCGTCGCAGTGAGGGGGTTTGCTATTCAGACAGGAAGCAAGGCATACGACAATTTGTTACAGCATTAGGCCCACGCATGAGAGTTTTGAGAGAACCCCAAGTCCCAGAAATTTCTACAGTCCGTTTCAGATCCAGGCAGATTTTGCGGATACCAAAGTGGTGCCCAGCATTCTAGACTGGGTATCAAAGGCCTGTCCATGCAGTGAGTGCAGAATTCGGTAATTATTCTGGCCCCTGCATCCTATCCCTGTAAACTCCTGTCAGCATTCAGTGAAGAGGCTGCCTTGCATGTATGCCCTGAACCTCCTACTACTACTACTACTATTATTATTACTACTACTACTACTACTACTACTATTGTTACTATTATTATAGCATCCCAGAAGCTGCAGTTTGCTGCATGCATGCAACTGCAGGTCCCTATTGGTTCCCCGCTCTTAGACACGCAGAAATTATCGGCTCAAGACCATCATACGAGCCATAGTCTAGGCTCCTGAAACGGGGAAGTTATAGGGGATTATATAAGGGACTGCTATAGGGCTCATTAAGGGGGATACTAGGAGTTTAGACTATAGCTCATATGGATGCCCACACCGGTGCCAGCAAAATGGCGCACCAAACTGGCTCTGATACCATGGATGTGCACGCTTCCTTCCAGCTTGCGGGCAGGCTTAAGGCTTGCCAAGAGATCCTAGCAAGGGAGCAGAAACTTAAATCGTGGAAGGTGTGGCTGTGGATTCTGGGCCAAAGCATGACAGTGTTCATTGTGTTTTTGCCGGGGTTGATCCATATCAGTCACTTGTCTATGCTAGCAACTTGTGTTTTTCCTTTGAATGCTTATGTGAACCTTTTGAGCAACAGCGCAATGTTTGCAACCAGATCTAAGGCATGTCCTTCGTGATGCTGCTGCTCCTGGCTGTGCCAGCCCTCCAGCGGGCCGGTAGCTTCTCTTCCGGGACTTTCGATGCCAGGGATTTCTCATTGCATATGGTCTTTCCAAGGGACTACTCTGCCTTCGGTCTGGCCACGGAGCAGATGCCAGCAAGGCGATTCATCACCATTTCTGTGATGCTTCGGCTTGGTGGTCTCTTGTCATATTTGCCACTCTTCGTTGATGCGGACGCATATGGCTTCACAACGTACCTTTCGGCTGCCCTGTCTGAACAAGGTTCTGAGCAGCTGCAGCTGTTCCGTGACCAACAGGCTGAGCAGGTGCGCAGGCTTCAGTACAAAGAAAACGCGCAGTCCGTTGACAGTTACCGTGACATCAATTCCGCACTAGTGCAGGCCTTCGGTGTGGCTTATTTTGCTTTCCTTTGCATCTCTGGCTGTGGATGTTGCTTCCTTTCTCAGGGCTTCTGTGTTGGAAACGACTTCTCTGGCGCTGCAGCAGCGGATCTGGCCTTGCAAGAGCGCATCGATGACAGGGCCAGGATCCTGGCCGCACGAATGCGCGAAGGTGATCTAAAGCCTACTTGGAAAGAGTATGTGAGGCTTCACGCGGACATGCTGCTTTTTGCCTGGGATTTTGTGTCGGATGGGCTCGCGCTGTGGCAGTTCTTCGAGCTTGAGCTGTTCTGGTTGTTTGCGTTCCAGTTAGTCATCATTCTAACAACCCTGTGGGAAGAATCACGGGTTGTCCGCAAGCTGGGTATACGCGCAGCATACCGCGCAGTTGCGGAGTCCAGCTCACATGGATGGGCCACAGATAACTTAATGGCAATAATGATGCAAGAGAAACTTATTCAGGCGCCTCCTTCATCGATACTCTTCGAATTTGCGTCTTTACATTTGCCGGAGAGTGCTGGGCGCCATCTCCTTGGAATTGACTTCATGTTTCTTTTCAGTCGCTTCAAGATGTTCACGAGCAGCTTCAGCTCCGCTTGGGCGGCATATGTACTCATGCACTTAGACCTAGATCGACACATTGTTGTTGCTGTGGAAGGCCTGGGGTTGCCAAGCGCTAGAGGCGGGGAGAAATCGTCAGGCATGCCAGTGCAGCCAAGTCAGGCCCATGGACCAGGCCACAAGCCTCCAGCTCAACTGGTAGGACCTGCAGTCCTTATGGACCCCCCAGCATTCCCACCAAGAAAAATCACACCTCGGCATGTCGCTCCTGCCCCAGCCTTCCCACCAGAAATTGCGCCTTGCCCTGCGACTCCTCCGCAGTCGGCACCTTGTCTCCAAGGGGGAGGCTTGAAACACATGCCGGCCCAAGAAAGCCCTGTCCAAGATCCGGCGGCCAGCAGTTGCATCCACAAGTCTAAGGCTTTCCATGCGTCCCAGCCACCCATCCAGGTCGGGGCACCGAGGGGTGCTGCCGACCAAGAGTAGTGACTAAAAGGCCAGCCAACTGTTCCGCCTCATTCAGTGAAAAACTGAGAGGCCCCTTCAGTGAACAAACTGAGGGCTGCTGTAGCTGACCAGTTCCCACTGCTATGCTTTCACATGTTATTGCCTCAGTGTTTATGGCTGCCATCCAGGTTGCACCTTGGGGTGCTGCCGGCAAGAATTATGATCACTTCGCCAAAGGCGAGAGAGAAGAACTCGTGATTGCTACAGGCAGGGTTGTTCGGATCTCGGTTGCCCATTGATACTTGCATGCCGTATTGCAATTCTGCAAAGGCATGCTTTCTACGACGTAGGCCAGAAGATGAAGCAACCCGGAGCACAGGTAATGTCAGCTTTTCGTGCACTGAGTATGTCGCAATTCCCCTCAAAGAGACTAAGGTCACCAAACGCATTTTACGACCATGGGCTCCTGTATTAAGTGGCCTCTGTTATGTAAACAACCCATGCTCAAAGCCTAGCCATAGAAGCAACGAGGAAGTATTGACAGAGGGACAGAGCCCTAAACCCTCGATAGTAGTTTCCATGTGCTTTTCCATTTTCCATCAGCCCTATAATATCCCTATAGTCCCGCTACTACCCTAGTGGTTTTAATTTCAGAGGTCTAGATATCCTTATATCAGTTGGCATTCTGCAACGGAGAGAAGCAGCAACTGGGCCATGGAGTTGCCGACTGCTTTGGGTTTCTTCCATTTCATAAGCGTAAGGGATTAGGAGTGAGGGCTTAGGCCCCCAAAATGATGCAGAACCAAGTGGAGAAACACATGGAACATAAAATGGAAACTGGGCTTCTATAGGGCTTATATACAGATTTAGTTTATAGTATATGAATATATGATTATGGCCACCCCGAAATTCGAGAAGCCTGGGGCCTATGGCTATCATATGACTCTCATAGAGTGTGTACACTTTTGGGGGTTGGGATGACAAAATGCTCTGATTGCTTTTGCTGTGGCGTACGGGAACACGCAGTCAACGCTTGAGCATTGGAACCTCCCTGAAGGCGAGGGCTTAGGGTGTGGGATGCTGTGGATATTTTTTTGGTACGATACTTTCCGAGCAGTTCAGCACCCGCCGGACATCTCACGACAGTTCGGAGGAGTGAGTTCAAATCGGGTTCCACTGTAACTAACGACCATGGTGTAAATCCCAACTCGTTCTGTTAATCACGTCCGTGCATCCCACGGCCTCATTTCACTTCCCAACCTCCGCAGGCTGTGCAGAACTGGCGCGAGGGTGCTGGAAACTCAGACAAAACTAGCTTTTTGTCCAGTCTGGCTTTGGGCTTAGAGTTGCCAGGCATGATTTCCCGTAGAAGCCTGAGTAGTTATCAATGTTATGGTCTTGTTGCCGATGTTATGGTCCTAGATTCTTGTGTAATTCGGGTGTAGGGTACCTTAAACAGACCGCAAAATGATACCGGTAATGATTCAGGCCTCTACGTAGTGTGGCCCCACGTGCACATGTCTTTACAAGAGCCCAGGCCCCCCCAAAAAGGATCCCAAGAATGGAACCTCCCAAGTATCCCTAGGTCCCAAAATGCAGTAATGGGGCTATTCTGCGGGGGTGTCCTTTTATTTGGATCCTAAACCCTAAACCCTATACCTTTAAGGGATCAGAGGATGCCACGCGAATTTCCCGCAAGGGGAGGAAGCTGCAACGAAGCACTTGGGATGTGTGGTTAAAGACAGTAATAGTAGCCATCTTAAGAATAGTAAAAGTAATGATAATATTAGAAAGATCAAAAATCGAGAAGAACTGACCTACTTTAGGGGTTGAGGTTGCTCAACTTCTGTTGTGACCTAATTCAACCCGTACGTAAACATGCAACCACAGTCTTCGTTTCATCTCCCATTCGATTCTCCATTATTTGGGATCCTATGTAGATCCTAAACCCCAAACGTAAGCCCTTAACCCTAATCCCTAGGCCTGAAAAGCAAGGTCCTACGCAGCTGCTATGACGCCGGCAAGCTTGCAGTCATCGGCGGCGGCGGGGGCGGCGTGCTGGGCTCAGGATGGCATAGTCGTTTCATGTAGGAAGCCTTTGGGGGTATGTGTAAGGAGCGTTAAAGGGTCATATTGGGGTAGTATATACGTAGAGGCATGTAGGGCATGAACGACTACAGCTTTCAATAATCAGGATTTCAAAAGCTATAGGTGGTCACGATATGCCAGCGCAGTCAAATTTCAGCATGTGCCCTGCTTACGGACTTGTTTTGTTTTTCTCGCCTGGCGACGCCGCAGCTCCTATTTGTATTGTGGAAGGACATTCAGACGCGATAATAACAGGGAATCAAATCGGTAGCCCCAGACAACTGTTCAAGCGTCCGAGCGTGGCCGTTTAGCAGGACAGACGGGGCCCGGCACAAACGGGGCCTGCTGGATGTATATGTTTGGGATTTCCTCACCATGATACTCAACAACAAGCTGTAGGGCTTGCCACCCTAAACCCCAAACCTCGAAACCTTAACTCTAAACCCTAGATCTTGAACCTTAAGCCCTGAACCGACTTTGACAGCGGGCGGCTCTTTGGGCTCAGGGCTTAGAGATATGTCGGGGGTATGCAGGGATTTCATGCGGGTATATTACACAGATAATTCAGAATCAAATAGACAAGAAGTGGAATGAAATGTAAAGTGGGACTATAGAGTTTATAGGGTTTCTAGAAGCGAGCTTTTTGGGGCGGAGTCCCTTTCATGACGCTCATTTTTTGGGGGTCTGTATAGGCCCTCTGGTTTTGCGAAGCCCCCAACTCGAAACTTGACGGAAGATAACCCGAAGCCCGAAACCCTAAACCCGAGACCCTACACCCTAAACCCCAGACCCGAAACCCTAGACCCTAGACCCTAAACCCCTAAACCCATCCAAGCCTTGAGCCCGAGCACAGCTTGAAATTTTAGGCCTGAGCCTCAGCGGTCCGAAAGTCAATGGTCATTTGAGTAGTATTTTCTTTGGGGATACGGTTGCATTTAGTATAGAGTAAGATTACATCCTCCTTTTGGGGTATAGTATATACTTTATACGAGGAGTAGATTTAGGTTCGACCACCAAAAAACACTATTCATCCGTCCTTCCCGAAAACTTATCCAGGGGTGAAGTTGACCAGAAAACATCCTGAACACCTGGGTTGCTGTTAGCTGTTAAGGAACTTAGGGTAAGTTGTTATAATGGGGGAATCCTCTTTGAATACATACGCAAAATGCGGTGGCTTAATGTTTAACTTCCTTAACAGCAACCCAGACAAAGAACATGACAAAGTATCTCTTGCACAATGAGTACCAAGCCAGGACGGTTTGCAATCCTCTCCATATGCCGCTGAAGCCCCAAACCAATCCTTTTTCCTTAGCTCCCTTATGTGAAAAAAGATTGGGATCATTTTCGACAAGCGGATGAGGCTTATAGTTGAAGGGAGGAGATTCCCATGAACAGCAGACCTCAAGCTCTGATTCGGAGCCGGTCCGAAGCGCCAGGCATTAACTGAACGCATAGGGTTGAGGGTTTGGGGTAACATTTCACTGCCTGGACATTCAACCTGAATTGTTGAACCACCTGTTCAAGGGATGAGACAATCCGGTCTCCAGCCTAATTAAAGCATCATTCAGACAAAAGCCCCACGTCCTGTGCAGAGGCAGCGCGTCAGCGAGAACGTAGCACCCTACTATGGCGGCCTAATGAGCACTATGATGGGCTTCAGGTCTTTGTATACCTATAAGATATCTGATAGTGCATCTCAAGTAGACCCAAAAGCAATCCCTAAACTCCAGACTCAAAACCTCAAGCCCTAAACCCCAACCAAATTCGCCAAACCCTTAAAACTTCAACCCTAAACTTTAAATCCGAGAAACACAACTGAATCCGAAACCCATCTTCAGGCAGGAGGTGCACGGTGCTGTGGATCCATCCCGAGGCTCCCTGACGTGGCCTTTTGCAGAAGGGTTGGGATATTGGATTTGGGGTTTAGGGATTAGGGTTTAAGGGTGAGGGTTTAGAGATGAGGTTTTAGGGATTAGAGTTTAGGGATTAGGGTTTAGGCATTATAGGCTTCAGGGTTCAGCATTTAGGGATTAGCGTTTGGGGCTTAGGGCTTATGGATTAGCGTTTGGGGTTCAGGGTGTGGGGATTGGGGTTCAGGGTTTAGGGATTCTCGCAACTTGTAAGGGTTCGTATACGGGTTACATAGGGTTATGAAGCGTATTATTGGAAAATTAGGCAGGAAAGAGAAAGAACAAGGAAATGGAAACTCGGATTTACGGTTGACGGTTCACGGATCCCGACAAGATGGAAGGTTTGCGACATCGTGTCGGGGTTGCCTCCTGTGAAGCGCTCCGTAGCTGAACAGGGAACACTGGGCTAAGGCTTCAAGTATTTGGGATCTGGGGACTAAACTCTGACCCAAGACCTTGGCGTCGGGAATGCTCAAGATGAGGGGGGTGGGGGGGTTCATCTTTCTGGGGAGGGGAGTATAAGTTACAAGGCAACATGCTCGTGGTTGCTCGCCATAGATTGCACCTCATACCTGCCGCAGCAAGGCGACCATTCTACCGCTAAACCTCAAGCCTGAAACTCCAAAACCTATAGCTCCAAACCCTGGGCCCTAAGCCTGAAATCTGACACCCCAAACCCTAAACCCGTTTGTTCAGGAAATCCTGCTCAAGCTACATCCTCAGCTTTACCATCTTCGCCTTGAGGCATTTTCAATTGGAATTGTGTTGGCATCAGCAACCCACCAGATGCCATCATTTCATACATTTTTCTGTGTGAAGCCGGGCATTCTTGAAAAACTCTATTCAAATCATTCTCTATCGTGTATTGATTATCTTAATAGTTTGGAAGTTTCTCATATGGTAACCCAAAACGGCTCCATCCCACAATGCCCCTATAGAATCCCAGCCTCCACATCATATACCGCTCGTGTATCCATGATTGCCCTGCTGGCAATGCTTTAGGTCTTTGAACTTGAAACCTTCAACCCTAAGCTTACAAAT